ACCCCAATGTCTTAAAAATAAGTGGAAATCATGCCATTGAAATGCAGCCATTTTGTCACCAGATTTGGGTAAACTCAGGATGGTGGAAATTGTATACTGCTCATAGGCTGTGGTTTGCCCATCTCAATATAAATATTTAAAATGTACTAAGAAGACTTTTTTCTTCTTCTTACTTCATTTAGCAATAAAGGCTATTCCATGTTCTGGCTCCTATTAGGTTCTGGGTCAAAGGCTGAACATTTTCTACTTTTCTAAAATTTGTTTACAAATTGATTTCAGTTTCAGCAATTTCCTATCTGACTGCTGAGATGTATGCAAAGCAGATGGTCTCAAGGACCAAAAGTATAGGATATAGCCCCTTGGCCAAAGCTAAACAGTTCTGGATCTGGTAAGTACATTGAAAGAAAACTTTCTAGGGAACCAGTTTGAATATCTTAATACAAGAAAGCAGGGACATCTTTGGAATAAATAGAAAATATGTTCTAATAAGGGAATGTGGAATGTGAAGCTCTTCAGATATTGTTGAACACTAACTCCCAGCAGCTTTAGACAGTATGACTGGCAGAGAAGAATGAGGGACACTTTAGTCTTACAATATTTGAAGGCATAACCCTCATCCACTATGACAAGTGGATGGGATCTATGGATAGCTGCCTGACATGGCGAGCCACTGAATTTCGGAGAACTGTTTTTAGAACTGTTTTTCAAGATGTGTCCTCAAGCTCCCCACTAACTCGGCTTGTCCAGGATATCTTCTAGCACAGGAAATATGGATTCAGTATCAAGGAAATATAGAGCTTCCTGTACTCATTGAAGCTTGTGAGAAGATCTTTCTGAGCAATGGTCTATTCTTCAATCCTTGGTTATTGTTTGGTCTTGAGTTATGGCTTACTTCACAATCCCATCTCTCCTTTTCCTTCTTATTGGCTTGACCTATAGCTCCTAATTTCTAGGCCCACGCCAGGCACTGCCACTGTGTTTCAGCTTACTGTGTCCTGGTCAACAAGACAGCATGCATACCAACAGTGAGTATCTAGCTACTGTGAAAAGACAGCATTTTAAATAATTCAGGATAAAATCCATCAGCCAATATACAGCAGTAAAGGAAAACATCCTATCCTTTTAACCAATTGCATGCATCTGTGCCAGCAAATCGTCTGCTTGCAAGAACAATCCAAACAGATTGCAACATTTATTCCAGAATTCCAGATTATATCATCTGTATCAAAATTGTCCAACACTGTGATTACTTTTCCCTTTGTTCTGAAATGTGCCTGCACAGGAGCTAAATACGTTAGAAAAATGTGTCTGATTCAGACATCATCTCTATTCTAAAAAAAAAAAAAATTTTTCAAACTCATGATTTATATCTCACCTTTCTACTGGTAGGTTATTCAAAATGGCTAAAAGATCCATTAGAATATACTGCACTTAATTAAATTAATGAAATAATTTGCAGAAGATGTCCTCCTTCCAAATTACAACCAGAAGGCCAAATGTTTTAGGACACTGGCAAGATGTTCTCTCACAAACCATATTCATCACGTTCAGTTTCCAGAACTGCTTTGGGACCATGAAACTATGACCAAAAGCATCTTCTGCAGTGCCTTAAAGCAGCTATGTCTTTTCCTAGGCTCACATGGCCTTTGAAGATAGCACCCATAAGATCCTGGGAAAAGGCCTGTCTGCAGACGAGTGTTATAGTCACACCCCTCTTTGTGTGCACTGATGGACAAACTACTCCTCTTTGTTGCCTTTATTCCATGTACTGAAAAGGATGTGCATTCAGGCACACACACATGGAGGATGTGTTCAGGACTGCTGGAAATCTTGTCACTCACCAGTACTTTGGGGAAGTTATTTATTCTGCTGCTATCAAGCTGCAAATGAAGCTTTAAAACCAACCCCCCCCCCAAAAAAAATGAAGTTAAGTAAGCTTAATTCTTAGGGGGCATGAAGTTGATGGGAGGTATGTCACATTCGGAGGATGAAGCTGTACATTACTGCAAGCTGACACAGACGCACACAAACACTTAAGATCTCAGAGCTAGAACATTTTAACATATACATATATAGCGTGTGTATGTATGTGTGCGTGTAGATATATATAATGGCAAGCACTGAAAATGACCTCGCTCTGAGATTAAATTCTACCCAATCATTTTATTTTACACTGTTATCAAAACAGCTTCATTCAATCAAGACTCTAAGCTATATCCCCTTTTATCCCTCTCTTCTGCCCTGATGTAATCTGTGTCTTTCATCAGTTCTGGGGTATTTCATTCCTTGGATTGACAAGTGTCCTCTGTAACCTGAATCAAAACCATTAAACACATTATTTGTTTTTGTTGATGCTGAGGGCTGGTACAGGGATAAAAGGTAACAGAATGTGCATGTTTAGACTGCAGAAGGCATCATGATCCTTTGGGATGATATTCATGTTAGAAACACTTGACCCCGTGTGAAAATCTGAGCAGCGCCTTTCAGATCCTTCCGATTAAAAGCTGTTTAGCATTTGTTCACTTTATACTGTACAACAAAGTGCAAACTCTTATGTAGTTAAAATCACAGCAGCCATGGAGAAAAAGGAGATATTAGCAGGTTCAGGGGGTATAAAGTTAAGTTAAAGCGGGGGGAAAAAGTCCTTGCAGAGAAGATTCTGGTTTCTGTTTTGAGCGTGGGTAACATTGTTTAGCACTTTGGATTCAATTGCCCCAAATGGCTTTGGAACATATGGGGTGTGATTATAATACTCGTCTGCAGTCAGGCCTTTTCCCAGGATCTTATGGCTGCTATCCTCAAAGGCCATGTGAGCCCAGGAAAAGACATAGCTGCTTTAAGGTACTGCGGAAGCTCCAGTCATAGTTTCATAGTCCCAAAGCAGTTCTGGAAACTGAATCCAAACCACTGTACAACCCTACTAGCGTGGCCCCTTCTGTTTTCCCCAAAGACAAAATTAATCTTCAGCAAAGAGGACAAACAATTGCCTCAATGATTCACATCTAGCTTCCATGTGGAGATGAAGCTTTAAAAATTAAGACTGCACAGATCTTTGAGCGGGTGTTTCATTTGGATGAAAGCCTGAATGCTTCTTGATCCTAAAGACTCTTTCAACTGGTAGTATTGGAAGAGGGTTTTTTGTTTGGTTGGGTTTTTTGGGGGAGGGGCAACTGAAGCAAATTGTGACACCTTCTGGTGTGAAGGACCTCAGTGAGCTTTAGCACAACCACCTTATACAGACTGAGTAGAAATTTTCATATCACTGACCTATCAATATTGCAGATTTCTGTCCAATATTTATAACTGTAGAGTGGGGAAGTGTAGATACATGAAGGACAGGAGGAAGAGCCGCTACCAAGATAACAGTCAGATAAAAAGGTCCTGAACCCAGGCCAAAAAAATAACTTGAGAAACCATCTCGGACAAGCCCCTCCCTAATTCACATGAAGATACAGTGAGGGAGGGGGAAGCACATTCAGACTCACAAGATTCTGTTACTACAGCTGTTACAACAAAAGTAATCCTGACCAATATGGCATTGGTTTCTTAGTCTGGTCTACCTTCTTGGGTTGATAGGAAGACAGTGTTCAAGGGAGGGAGGTTCTTCTATCTCTGAATATTTATTTATTTATTTATTCATTCATTCATTCATTTATTTATTTATTAAATTTTTCAACCGCCCATCTCGCCCCAATGGGGGAACTCTGGGCGATTCACAACAAACATTA